GACTTAGCATAAGCCACTTTTAAGACCCCAGCCGCAGCCCCTAACAAATAACAAAGCCAAGAACGACGCATGTTTTTGCGTTTCTTTTTTACAATGAAGATGAACAATTCTGCCAATTTTTATCATAAAAATGGACTGTTATATGTTTTAAGTCACTTAAATAACAGGAAGATAATACAAGAATATTTTAAATATCGAAAAAATACGCGAATCGAAAGAGTTCTCAGCGAATAATTTGTACATATATTCTTTGGAAAAGCACGCAAATATTCGGGATTTCCGCAAATAACAAGTACATATGTTCTTTTTTTTTAAGCATTTCACCCCTCTAGAATGCAAGGGGTTACAGAAATTTGGGAGCAAGACTAAAGAGGCGTGATAGAAGAAAGGATGAAGAGAAGGACGGGGAATTAGATCAAGACATCTAAAGATGTCGATTGACGTTACATTTGAATAATTGAAGATTATAGCTATCGGGGAAGCAAGTAAGAGGAAGGGAGTTCCACAGACGGGAAGTGCAAGACATAAAGCTATTGGAGTAGAAGAGACGGCTACATTTAACACATTCAAAAGTGAAAGGGTGGGACTAAGATGCCAACCTAGTAGAACGCTTAAATTCATGCAGTTTGGGTACCAGCGAAAGTAGCTTGTCGGAGCAGTTGCCGTGAAAGTATTTGTAGAAAAGACAGAGGGAAGCAACGGCACGTCTGTGAGAAATTGACTGTAGACGAGATGCCAATCAATTTGCATATCCGTCTCTGGATTTTGTCAAGAACCCTGAGACGAACAACGGAGGCTCCAGACCATATGGCAGCTGTTTTCCATGCAATGGCGAATGCTTGATTTATTTCAAGGATGGACTCAGGCGAGAAACAAACTTTCAGGCACGACACAGAGAAGCAACTTTTCTTGCGGGAGATGAAGCTATTGATTCAATAGAAAAATCCGCGAATGTGCGAAGTCGCGATGCTAAAACGCGAATAGGCGGAGACTCACTGTACTCACTTCAATAATATATGAATAATCAGATGAAAATAGAATACGAATCTTTATAAATTACTGAATAATATTATTTTGCATTAGACCTTCTTTCATTATCTTAGGACAGGGTTTGAAAAAATACGTTCGGATAACTCGAAATGAACAAATACATGGAGTCAATAGCTTCGTCCACCGCTAGGAAAGTTGGCTCCCTGGGCCGCGCCAGGAAATTTTTCTCACCGGAGTCGATCCTTCAAATCTACAAATCAACCATTCGACCTTGCATGGAATATTGCTGCCATATATGGTATGGAGCCCCTTCTGTTTGTCTCAAGGTCCTTGATAAAATTCAAAGACGGATATGCAATGTAATTGGCCCTGATCTGGCATCTCGTCTGCAGTCCTCTCTCACAGACGTGCCGTTGCCTCCCTCTGTCTTTTTTTTTACAAATACTTTCATGGTAACTGCTCCGATGAGCTGCTTTCGCTGGTTCCCAAACTTCATGAATTTAAGCGTTCAACTAGGCTGGCATCTCGCTCTCACCCTTTCACTGTCGAAACTGTTAAATGTAGCCGTCTCTTCTACTCCAATAGCTTCATCATTCTCACTTCTCGCCTGTGGAACTCCCCTCTCCATTTCTTGTTTTCCTGATAGCTATAATCTCCAACTATTCAAATGTAATGTCAATCGACGTCTCCAGATGCCCTGATCTATCCCCTATCCTTCTCTTCATCCTTTCCTCTATCACTCCTATTTGTTCTTGATCCAACTCTCTGAAACCCTTTGCGTGCTAGTGGCTTCCCGCCTTGCTTGGGGTGAAATGCTGAAAAAAAAAAATTGAAAACTTATATGTAAATTTCAATGATTTAAAAGAATATTAAGAAAAAAAATTTTTACTTTAATATTTTTTTAACATTTAAAACCATCAAATAACGTTTTTCAATTTTTATTTATTTTAATGTTCTATGAACTGTTTATTTTTAACAAAAAATAAATTCAGTCTTTCAAAGGTAGCAAATTATGTTAAACTGGAACACATTTATCCTATAGTTTAATAGATTCTCCCATATATATATATATATATAATATATATATAAATATAGTTGTATATTATATAAATTTATGAGGAATCGAAAATCATTTGATCGGTTGAAAAAAAAAAACCAATTTTGATAAGGAAAATTGGCTGTAAATTATTTGGATTCTTTTGGGGATTTAAATTGACCCTGAAACCCGTTTATTAAAAAATGTGGGTAAAAATTTTTATTTCAGCCCACTTAGATGGAGATCCCAAGGTTAAACCGGTTTCCAAAATTTGATTTTATGAATGATTTTCAAATGTAGAAAATATTCCAATATTAAAATTAAATATCAATTTTTCAGTTGAAAAAATTGATCGGTTGAAAAAACTAAATTTCTACCTTCGGGCAAGGGGAGGAACCTTGAAATAATACGCCGATTCCAAATTCAAATTCTACTTTATTAATTGAAGTCCCCTGAACCCGATTTATACGGGTTCAATGGTCATATTTTTATAAAAGCATTTTAATTTTAAAATCAAACGTTTTTGCCACATGATAATTTTTGAAAATAAAACTCCAGATATCGTTAAATTAATTTTTCAGTCGATCGTTCTTACCGTTAGTCGGATATTAAGTTTATCACCTTGAAAACAAACTAAATTTTTCTGAAATCATTACCTATGCAATGAGTTCTAATTTTTTTTGTACAAGTCGAACCTATTTTTGACCGACTTTTTGAAATAAAATCGACGATATGCCGAAAAATTTTTTCTACAACAATTTTAAAAATCTTGTAAAATATAATGGTTAATAAATTAAAATTTTTAATTTAATTAAAAAAAATTTGCTTTTTACAAATCGGGGATACTAAAATCAAGAGCAGGTTTTTTACAAAAATTTAAAATATTTGTTAAGTGTTGATTAACAGTTGACAGAACGTGCATCGAATTGAGATCTAAAAATTTTAGGAATTTTAAATGGGCAAATTGCATTTCACAGTCAATTTTGCTAACACAGTATTTTAGAAAGGAAAAATTTCATTAGAAACAAAAAAATATTTGGGGACTGAATTTTACGTGAAATCTGAAAATGAATACGGAAATGAATTTTATAATTTTTAATAAAGATGAAGAAGATACTTGAAACATTCAGAAATGTGGTTCTACAGAAGGATACATGAGGATACATCATAATGGTGAAACAATTTATCAAATTTTATATTATCTTTTAGAAAAGAATGGAACTCTTAAAAAGGAAACTTTTCATAACATCAGAAAAAAAAGCAATTGAAATTGAGATATATAATAGGAAGGACTTGCTTTGAAATTCTGATACGACCATTTAAAGATCAGTTAAAAAAACAGATAATTATTTACTAAATCTTTAAACAAGATGATGGCGGAACAGGGTTTTGGGAAATACAACAAAAAATAAAAACTTTTTTAGGATAAAACAAGGAACAAAAAGATGTGGAGGGCCAAATCGAATTTACATACCCTGAAGGGAAACAATAAAAAACATAATCTTTCAAGAATGAATCTATAATTTTCAATATCAATTTGATTAGACGTTTAAAAAACATTTATTAAATATAAATGAAAAAACATGAAGGCTGGTAAATTTTTTTAATAACAACAAAAATCATTTCAGGTTTTGCAGTTGTGAATTTAAAAATATCTATAAACAAAAAATAAAAAAATATCTTCTATTTTTTTTTTTTTCAGCCCATCCTCTGAGTAAATTTGAAAATTGGTAACATTACCTCGCACCATTGCCAGTAAATGAAGACAATCAAGACATTTTATTTGCGAGGCTCGTCCAATTAATCGAATCCAATCCCGCCATTAAAATCAAAACATTATTTTCTGTTGAATTTCATTCTATTTAATAACCCCAGAAATCTCCACTGGCACAAAATGTAAATAGAAAAAAAATAAAATTCAAAAGATTTGATAATTTATTGAACAAAACTATTTATCAAACCATTTATTTTGAGCGAAAGACCAAAAAAATGTCGGTTATGGTCAAATTAACATCGAATTGACAAAATTTCCATTATTCGGATTATTTTCATATAATGT